TGTTTACTGAGGTAATAAATCAAGAGAGAAGTAGAGTCATTTTCTCATAGACTTCTATACAACCAGAGGAGTCGCCCCCTGGTGGACACTAGAGAGAATGCAGCTTTAAGACTTCAGCATCTGCTTCATTTTTCAGGACTAGAAGTTGCCGCCTGATTTCAGCACAGTGGCCTCATTGAATTAAATGAGTGGGCAGCTTTTTCTTTCCGTGCAGCGCTTATTCAGCCACTAACAGCAACTCCACAGAGGAGCCCGTCTCTCACCTTAATGGGCCTACTTTTAAAGAGAATGCTTCAAGTGTCAAACCACCACAGTCTGGTTGCTATCTCACCGATCGTTGTTACACATTTCACCGACATCAGCAATATGTGCATGTTAAGTTTTGTAAACGTGACGCTGGTCTGAACCAGATCCCACTCCAGCACGTCATTAAGCTGCTGGAAAACGGGATTTCTGTGCTTCAAGATGTCAAAAAGGTTTACGTCAGCATCTGTGCCTCTACCTGCCACGACGTTTAATCAGCCCCTCCACCCCCCTCCACCCTCCTCCTCCTCCTCCTCCGGCTGGAGGCTGAGTCTAACCTGTCACCAAGGCTGACACCGGGTGATGACGCTGCACTGTGGCTCGCTCCTTTTGACGGTGTGTCGACAGGTTTTTTTCTTTTTTTCTCCCGGATCGTGCTCGTTCCCTCCCCCCTCGCTCCCCCTCGCTCCCCCTGGCTTGACGCGGTCGATTCTGCATTTGAAGCTCCCAATTACGGCGTTTCTTTCCCGCCCCCTCGGGCGTGTTCTAATATGTCATATCATGAGCCGACTGCAGCGCTGCATCTCTAATATTCCCTCAATTACTGGCAGACTGAGAGGGAATTTAAGATAGCACTCCTCCAGGCGATGCGAGGCTGCGGCACTCAAAGGTGTCTCGCTCCAATTCTGACACTCACACACACACACACACACACAAAAAGTCATGCACTCTTGGTGTCTTACATACAAATGCTCCTTCCCTCCTGTATACACACACACACACACACACACACACACACACACACACACACACAGACACAGACACAGACACAGATCCCTCGGCGGCGGAGAGGCTCGCTCCGTCTCTCTCCGTGCCCACTTCATCAAACCTGCGCGTGGTGGCTGAGGCCCCGGACGCAGGTAGATGGATGGCGGTGCCACGGGGGCGCCGTTGCTATGCCGAGAAAACGGCGGAGTCAGCGGGCCGGTGACAGTGATGAAGGCGAGAGCGGCAGGCTACCCCCCCCCCCCCCCGGAGCGCTAACAACACAGCGAGCACAGCCAGAAGCAGACACTTGGTTTTCAGTGCAGTGGGATGAGATACAGCCGCGTTTCCCAAAATGCTCTGCTTCTCTGAGGACCAACACTCTTAAAACTCTTCAATTACATTCAAATTACTGAAGTACTTTACGTCTTGTACATAATTAACAGTTTTGTTACTGAATTTGACAAATGACAGTCAGTGATATCTGTAATAAATTGTCTTTGCATATTTAAAGGAGCACAAGTCTCTTTCTCTTTCACACAGAACAAACTGGGGTGGAAACTTTCGGGGAGGTTCTAATGAGAAGATGCCAGGAGTGCATCATGGGAAATGTAGGATTCAGACCCACGCTAAGATATCTGAGCCTCTTCTTCAACAATCATTTTCTCTTTTAAAAAGGGACAGTTCACCCTCCAAAAAATGACTGGGTTGCCTTCTCTCCAATATAATGGAAGTAAATGTCACTTGGCTTATGGAGCTCAAAACACCAAATAAATACATTTGAAAAAACTCAACAGCAACGTCTCTTTCCAGAAACGCTGACTCGGTTACTGAAGATAATCCTCGTCCGGCGCTGTGAGCAGTTTCATGCAGGAGCTATTTTTTGTTTCTACCGAACTACAGCTGCTAACCGTGCAGAAGAAGGCAAAGCATCTTTACCGCCGTCTTCCTAATCAAATTTCCATCAGTCGTATCCTTTTACTAATTGCTTCTGCCAGCTTGATCCCAGAGGAATCACTCATGATTTAATCTTCAACATCCCTTCATTTAAGTAGCAAACTGTGCAGCTTAACGTTCTGCAAACTGTGCCGAGGTTTTCTTCCGAGCAGCAGATATTTTGGGAGCGGCAGCGTGAAGTAGCTGTGTGACTGAAGTGTAGAGAGTACAGTACCAGCAGAGGCCATCCTCCCTGCCAAAGAGCAAGTTGGACTGAGAGGCCAAGCTGTGGAGGGAGGTGGGGACAAAAGACACAAGCAAGTTTAAAAAAAAAAAGGCCACAACAGCAGGGAAACCAGGGACGGAAGGCCAGTCATGGTCAGTCCAGTCCAGTCATGGGGGGGGAAGGCTCCACAGCTGCTTCATGTTGTTAGAGGCAGAGCGGCAGGAAGCTTCTTACACGCAAAGCATTAATACAGTCAGCGTTAATAAACGGGAAATCGCTGGCTTTTCCTGAAATGAGGAGTCATCGTTAAAGGAACAAACAGCACATCCTCACACATCAGAAACAGATGTTTTCTGTTCCACTGGTGAATTTGGGGATGAAATAAATAAATATCATTTGCAATAATTTGCAGACAGCAGAATCAACCATGACGGACCAGAGGGGGGGGGGGGGCTGCGGATAAACAATATTTGCAGCTTAATTTGAAAAGGTTTGAATAAATTCTTGCAGGCTGTTGTTGTATTTAGACGCAGTTTCCTTTTTGCAAAATGCTCTGAGTGAATTTTAGTTCCCTCTGCTAAACTGTGTCCATGTCTAGGGCTTTTATTGTGAAAGGTAAGAACAGGAGGAGTGGATCTTTGTCAAGGTTGAAAGGAGTAATAAAGTTTGCTGAATTGATTCAGACTACTGAGCCTCCGTGTTGTTGCACACTATGAATTACATTGTGTGAAAGATCAGAAGATCTGCTACATAATATCTGTGTTCTGTGTGTACTTGTGACAAAAACACTTCAAAAATGATATTAACATGTGAATCTCCTGGTGCGTAAAAGGCCTTCAGTCTTTATTTCTTCTCTCTTATTTGATGATTGATGGTAAATGCAGTTATTTGTTAGAATCCAACACATTGGCGTCAGAAATCTGCTTGGTACCAGGAAGTAACCATCGTATACTGAATATTACATACACTATGTGTCTGCTAATAAATAACACTATGGTGTTGCAGGTAGCAGGACGCTGCTGGTTTCCACTCTGGTTTCCACCCTGGTTCCTCTGGGAGAGCTTTCACTGAACACCATGTGTGTGTCGTGCGACTAACTGTGTGTCCTGTAGTCTCCGTTTCTCCTTTGAAACCACGGCTGAGAGACAGAGTGAGAGAGACTAAAACGTGCTTTTTGTGGGTGAAAAACAAGAAGAAGGTGAGAAGAGCACGAGGAGAAGGAAGAAGAAGAAGGAAAGAGACATTAAAACATGTTCTGCAGTCTGCTGTGGATTTGTAGACGCGTACACGGACACAACAACAACGATGCACAAGCACACAACGTCCCTAAATGTTGTTCTGAGTATTTCCTGCTAAAGCGTCCCGAACGGAGCCGATAACGCATCGACTCGGGGGGGGAGACAAACAACAAATGGCATCCGGAGGGCAATTCTATATAAACAGGCAAACCAGCTGAAAGCGAGGCGGTTTGGGTGTCAGCCGTGACATTAACATTTAGAGTGTGTGTGTGTGTGTGTGTGAGGGGGGGGGGAGTCAACAGGTGTACTCCAAATTAAACGGAGTCTTGACAACAGAGCAGGAAATAAGCGGAAGAGGAGGACTGATTAAAAAGGGGGGGTGGGGGGGGGGGCAGGAAGCACTTCCTCGTGGTGAGCTAAAGTGTGGACGACAGCGGAGGTCGAGGCTCGCAGCCAAAACGCCGCTCACTCTTGTGATGGGAAGGAGCGCGTTGGCTCGCTGAGATTAAATAATTACAAACAAGCAAGCCGGAGCGACTCTGGGCTGCAGAAGAGTCCACATCCACAGACGCTGTGGCTCTCCGCTCTGCCCGAGCAGAACTCAAGTCCTGCTTCTCCAGTCAAATCTGGATTATTGTTCCCAAAGGTTTAAGGTCCGAGCTGTTTTAAAAGCGCAATAGATCTTTAGCAGCCCTTCCTATGACGGCCATGTCTATAATACATTATCGACATACTTATAATACCTTATATCTGCTTATAGCAATGTTTAACTAGTCATAACACATTATAAAGCATTTCATAAGGACTTAAGGATCATAGTGTATTGTAATTCCTGTTGTAACACATTATAATCTTTTCATATTGTCTTTTAATCACTGTTTTAATGCATTTAAATGTGATTATCGTTGTGTGCTTTAAGTGAAGTGAAAACAATAGAATTACATCTCTGCAGGAACACAAACAGCATAAATGTCTCTTTTGACTTCGCTAAAATACCACCGAGAGTAACTTATTATCACATTATGAAACATAAATAAATGTATTACAAATATGATAATTATAATTCACTATGCTCTTTACAGAAAATATGTTACAATTATATATCATTATGAATATTCATGATTGCTTGTATCTATAATTATACAGTGCTATAAGCAGATTTAACACATAAGTATCTTTATAATGTGTCTTAGACGTGGGCGTCATTGGAAGTGTTACCCAGACTTTTAATACTAATAACTAACCTGTGTGATTTCATTACTAACAGATTGTTTTTTATATCTATACTTGGTCAATAGAGCAGCAAAGTGCAAACGTGTTGATCGCAAGTTTACAGCGACGGTTACATTTAAAGGTTTGTTTTTCTTTATTTACTGCCTTCACTGCAGCGTGTGTGTGTGTGTGTGTGTGTGAGAGAGCTGGTGGTGAGTGTTATTTCCCCCCCCCCCCCCCGGAGTCGCAGCTGTTGTATACAATAACAAACAAGCTATTATCATATTTTCATGGATAATTTTCAGCTTGTCAGACAGAGAAACAAATAACAGTCTCACCGCTGACAGCTCACATTATTCCTTTTAAACACCTTGTTGTTGTTTTTCCCTGATGGAGATTCTGAGCAGCTGGAGAGTCTCTTGAATAAACTTCATGCACAGAAATACTGGGGTTGTTTCTTGGTGTGTAAAGCTTCCAAACATTCCCAGAATCAGAGCAGAGCCCAATTTATTAACCGATTATCAAATTACATTTAATGTCTTCTGTCTGAATAACTGGTTTGACAACTGCGCTACGTCTAACTTCTTCTTTTTAAATCGTCTTCCTGCGTCTGAGGCAATCGAAGTCTACGTCTCAGTGACAGCTGAACGGCTGAAGAGTGAGATTTGAATGCAGCGAGCATGTCAGCGGCGCACACAGCTGTGCACCGGGCCCGCTGGTTTTTTGGCGGAGAACGCAGCACCCAGAGAGACTCCTTTCATCGGAGAAGCCGCCGCCATCGTACCGCGGTGTCTCTCCCTCTTTGTTTTTTTCGTGACACTTCCAACGAGCTTCAGATCTTCAGCTCGAGGTGGCACAAAGACTGATGTGAGAGGTGCGATGAAGTACACAGCAAAGGAACAACAGGCGTCACATTCAACATACAAATGGAGAGAAGAGACATGTAGTTGCGTGGATTCTGTCATTTCTTTTTTTTTTTTGGGGGGGGGGGGGGGTGTTTTGGGCTGACAGCCGAGTGAACTTGACAGGAAAAAAGGCGGCGCGGAGCTGCGCGGCACTAGATGCTATCATGTCATTCACCTCAGGTTAGCAGCAAAATTGGAGATGCAGTTAACCATCTCTGCATTCTGTTTCTCTGCACCCCACATGCTGTGGAGACAAAGGGGGGGAGGGGGGAGGACAAAACAAGAGGCAGTTACAAGCCGCTCCCCCATCCACAGGTTAGCCAGACCGCTCACACTAGAGTTAGCGGCTAACGGCTAACACGGCATGAGCCAAATACAGAGCGGCTATAGCTTTGGAGGAGACATTTGGAGACGTTTCAACCGTTGGAGCTCCAAACCTACCTGATATGTGTCAACAGCATGTGGACAAAATAATGTCAACACCTTATTGACAAAGACTTAAGTAACTTAAACACAAAAACACTGATAAATAGGGGTCATATTAGAAATGATCTAAATGTATGTGCTGTAAAAAAAAGTTAAAAAAAATAAAAGGGGCTTAAATCTGTAGAAAACTGTCAAAGAAAACTAAAATCATGATGAAAGACAAAAGTTGCGTTGATAAATGCAGTAAAGTCCTCCACCGGTCCAGCTGTGGTTGCTGTGCCTTCTGACTTCAAAGCTCACGTCCTTTTTTCAGGAAATGATTTTCATTATTTCGCCGTGTTTCCTGTTAACGTTATCGGCTAAAAGTTAAGAGAAGCTCTGCAACCCGGTGTTTTCAGTTCTCCCCAATCTGAACTACATTTGATGCTTTAGGAGCTAGCTTGTAGCATGAACTTTGGGTAAGTATCCCAGCATGCACATTACTATTGTTATTGGGTAGCAAAGCTCACCATTTAGATTTTTACGCTTTTTTGGGAACATCACCAGCTTTTCCAAAAACTGAGACTATCCCTTCACTGATGTATCCGTAGCTCTAATGTCTTTGTAGTGTTTTAAACATAACGTTTCAATCGTTTTGGACAAAAGTCTAAGAATTTGCAGATGCCAAACTGGTTTATGTGAAGGTTCACACTTGGTCCTGGGGCTTAGACTCAAACATGGCGCGGACGTGAGCTCGTACTCCGTGTTGAGGAAGTCCTGCAGTCCTGAGGAGGAGACTAACCGGCCAACAGAACGGTAAACACCTGAGTGGGAGGAGCCATAGGCACAGTAGGAAAACACCTAAAGTCAGGTTATGGTTCATTTGGCTTTAAGTTACCAGGAGGGAATTCTGTCAAAGTTGCTTTGCACTTTGGAGGCATTCAGCTGGACTCGTGGGACCTTCACACGCCATAGTTTAGCTCGTCCGAAGAGATACTTTAGATTCATTTTCTATACAGTGCAGATTAAATTTACGTGTACGAAGCAGCAAATTCATCTTTCTCATCTCGAGAGCTCTTCTGCAGAGAAACAGACTTTGAGATACTGCTCTCCAAGTTTTTTATACATGTTTTACTTGGACTTGACTGATTCACTGCGTGCACGAATTCCGTCTCCTCCAGCATTCACTATTTTTTGTGGACTTTATTTAGCAGATTGTGCATTCTCTCTTTGGCCTTGATGTCAAGCAATCACCGGACTTCTGCAGAAGTCAGTCCATTTTCATTTAACTTTGGTGCCAGACTAAGTGTTGGCTTGCTAGTCGAGGCTGTCCTGAAAGCCTCCTGTAGAGGGTTTGCTCTAAAACTGACATCACACCTTTGCCTTTATTCACTCGTCGACCAAACAGGAAGAGAACGAACTTTCTACTTCTGCGGTAGCGAGCCGGTCCAGCTTTTTAAGCTCAAATCCTGTGTGACTGTGTGCCGGATAGCACAGCTAGCAGCCTCGCTACCAGGACCTAAATCAGAGTGGGACTCCGGTGGGAGTCGGAGCTGAGCGTGGGTGTGTGTGGGGGGGCGGTATGTAGGTCAACACAGAGATGAATCAACCACAGCTGGGGTGATGCTTCAGCTCCGTATGGGAGAGGTGCTTCAAGTGTTTTATGTGTACGCGTTACAGCTGGAGTGCTGAATCAGCCGACCTGCACGCTGCTGATAAAAGAAACTCTACCGGTGGGTTTGTTTAGAGGTGAAAAGGTCAAAGGTCAAAAGGGAAAATCCATCTCATTTATGAGTTTGTCAAAATGAAGAAAAAGCAGCTTACACCAAGTTACTGAGCGACGCCAAGCTCAGCTGCTGGGACTGTTGCTGTTGCTGCTGCTGTAGTTGTTGCTGCTGTTGTTGTTGTTGTTGCTGCTGCTGCTGCTGGGACACTGCCGGTTGCTGTTGCCAGGCAGCCATGTTGCCAGGCACCAGCCCCGATGGTGTGAACGTCTGGAGCGCCGTGAGATCTGCACTCGTCAGCTGGTACTCTGAGATTAAGGGACGACAGGGAGGAAGACCACAGAGAGAGGAGGGGGTTGTTTTACATCACAGAACTTTCTGGTGCATCAATATTAATCAGGGCTAATCCATATTAATGGAGACCTTTGAAGTGGAATCATCGCAGAAGCTCTCACACAATGAACAAAGGGAATATTCATCGTGGGTTTGTGGCCTCACACTGAGAGCTTCTCAAGTGTTTCTACACGACACTTAAGATATTTCATGACACAACGCAGGATTAGACGTTTCATCTTTTTTTAATGACGTAAACGGACACACGTTTGGGTCGGAGCTGCTCAGACGTTCTCACCAGTGTTGTAGGACGTCTGCATGCCGGAGAAGGGCGCTAGGAGACTGGGTGTTGCCACGGAGACCACCGGCGTGGTGAGCGACTGCGTCACCTGGGAGCCACCGAGCCGCTGAGCAGTCTGGGTAAACACACAGAGAGAGACGGAGGGGAGGCGGGTGAACATTTGAGACACAGGAAGTGGAAGAGGCGATTAATCGCTACCGTGTCCTCCTGGAGGCCACAGGGCGGTTCTAGTGTGATATGATAATATTAATCATCTGCATCTCCTCTGTGTACAGTGTAGCTAACCTAAAAGGTTAATGTCCGTCACTGGTGTGATTATGGCTGAAAAGTTTGGGTTCAAAATGTCAAAGGTTGCATATCATGCAAATTTTCAGGTTCATATTTGCATTTGGGAGTTTCTACTAAAACATGTTCACAAGCTTTAATGTTCAAGAAACACGTTAATATTCTCATACTGTGTGTCTGAATGTTTTAGTGTCTGTCTCTTTAAGAAAAAGCCCAGTCTGCTCTGATTGGCTTGCAAGAAAAAAACATGGTGCGCCCACAGACTGTGTAAGAAGTGGACGTAGTCAACGGGACGTCACCCTTTAGTTTGTGGACCGATGTTTTGAAGCAATGAGTTTGGCATTTGGGATTTTGGAAGCAGAAGTAAAACTGAACGCTGAATAAGATATTTTGAGGCGACCAGAATGTTACAATTATCTCTCATTAACTGAAAAAAACACTGAAAGGGTTAAAGGTCTAAGACAAAAACACTGACAACATCTCTGGTAGAGACCTGTCAATCACTGTGTAGCCCCGCCCTAAAGCATGTTTGACTCTAAATGGACCATAATGTACTAAATGAACATCATGCTGTATTGAAGAAGACTTGAAACTAGAGATTGAGACCATAAACTCATGTTTACAATGTTTACTGAGGTAATAAATCAAGAGAGAAGTAGAGTCATTTTCTCAGAGACTTCTATACAACCAGAGGAGTCGCCCCCTGGTGGACACTAGAGATAATGAAGTTCTCAAGCCGTGGGTGAACTTACAGAGGACATGTCTTCTGATCTAGGCAGCCCACACCCCTGACCGGGTTTGTCTTAATTCATCGTGGATTGGTAGAAACTCCAGAAACCTAAATGTAAGTGCACTAAAAAAGTGAGTTTTTCACGATATGTTCCAATGAAGGAATTCTAGGTTTACATATAACAATTTTAAAAGTCTGTAAATACTCTGATAAAAGATGCTGAAGCATCCACCAAACATTTACAAACTCTTTCTTTCTTGGATCTTTTGGAGGAGAAACCTTCTCCGGTCTTCACAATGAACCGCGTCCTTTAGTGTGTTTTCTCCTTATATGGTCTGAGTGAAGGAGTTCATGACTTCATGTGTTCCCAACGGCAGCACTGATAATGGTTAGCATGTGCTTTCCACTGTACAGCAGAGTGAATGCAGAGACCTTGTATTGTGACTGAGAACTATGTAACTACACTATTACTACTGAAATATGTCACTAGAAACACAGCGTGTTCTACTTCTAGTGAAATAAGAAGAATCCTGTGAATGGTACACTCAGCTGAAGTGTGACTCTAACTAACTGTCAGCTTTCAGTTGAAGTTGTATCGTCAGACTGAATAGAAGAATAGTAATGTCACACAAACACACCTGCAGACGGACTGCAGGGCAGCGGAACATGTTCTCATGCATCGCGTCACGAGCAGAGGTGAGAAAACAATCCAAGCGCCTCGCTTCCCCTCCGAGCCGTTTAAACTTTTTTGGTGACACTTTAACATCCGAGAAGTGAGATGAGAGGCGTCTCTCGGTAAATCTCCAAAAGGCGCCGTTGGCACGGCAACGCTGTCGCCAGGGCCCCGGGGCGCTCGTGTTATATGTGTGTGTGTGTGTGTGTGTGTGTGTGTGGCGTCGCGGTGGGAAGGTGGTGTGAGAGGCATCGCCGCGCCGCAGAATCATGCCGACAGGAAACACATGCATCAGACAGGGAGGGAGAGAGGGAGGAGTGTGTTTGTATTGGAAACCTGTGTGTGTGTGTGTGTGTGTGTGGGTGTGTGAATGTGTGCAGAGAGGTATGCGAGGAATGAATGCATAACGTGAGGTGTGTGTTTTATTATGAGGCATGAGTGTATTTATGCAGAGGAATATGCACAAACATGTCAGCAGCAGCATGCGCGTGCGTGTGTGTGTGTGTGTGTGTGTGTGTGTGTGTGTGTGTGTGTGTGTGAGAATGGGATCAACATGTCCGTCTGTGTTCCAGGTTGGTGGCCTTTGTGTGATGTTTCTTCGGTCTGGACACTCGAGGAGGACACCAAACATGCACATGCTGAGCAGCTTCCACACACGGAGGAGAGTCAGCTGGTCGCTCCGGTTCCCTCCAGCGTTCCCTCCACAGACTGTTTGTGCTGCACAAATGTCACTTTAAGCTCCATTGCACCGGCTCAATATTAAAGCACACGAGTGTTGTTGCTTTGCCAATTTAAAAAAATAATAATTTCTGGAATGTTTTATGTCATAGAAAGGGTGGAGGGCAGCTTCCCACTAAAGAGAACAGACTTTACTGTTTTCAAGTCAGTAAGAAAGTCAAAGTCTTGGATTGACATTTTAAGTAACACTGAATGCTCATTTGCTTTCTTGCCAACAGTAAGATTGTATATTGTAATACGTCACGGCACAGACATGAGAGTGGTATCGATCTCCTCAGCTCACTCTCTGCAGGAAAAGCATTAAAGTCTATTAGCAGTCAAGATGTAAGTCTGTCTGCCCTGAGTGATGCTTCAAATCATCCTCCTTTTGAAACTCTTAATAAGTGTTTTTCTGCATAATTGAGTACCTTCAATGAAGAGGGATTTAATATTCAAGGACCGGCCTGTCTAATTATTCTGTATTGTTCGGGGACTTCACCAGGTAGAAGCTGCTCATGAAGTTCGTCTCAAGTCCTCGTGAACCCTGAACCCTGCTATCCAAAAGTCCTCCAGGAAACCAGCGCAACCAGCTGATCGCTTCCACCGGATGTTCCGGAGCCGCCGAGTCGACCCCGGCGGGAGCGCCGATGTCACACTCATGCTCGGCGAGACCACGCAGAGTGTCGACACCACACCCGCGAGGCCAAAAGAAGTCTAGAAGTCTATTCACCTCACTCACCAACTCCAGCTCTTCCTCGGTCTGCTCAGCGGGAGGAGGAGGAGGAGGAGGGAGTAAAACACAGGACAGTTACGCTTCTGCAACGACTAACTAAATATGAAGAAACATGACAAGAAACTTAATCTGAAGTCTAGTGAAGAAGTGTGCTTAACAGTCGTGTTTACAGTCTTTACACGTATGTTACCAAACAGGAGGAAGGAGGAAACTATGTGAAACATCCCGACACTCACTGTAATACTGCAGAAAGGGTTAAATCTGGAGACGCTGCAGAAGAAATGCTTAGTTTGCATCCTGATGTTACTCTTTATAGTGACAATCCTGCTGATGATGATAAGCTGAGGCAAAAATAGCATAACCGCTGTAAGTGAATATAGTTTCTGGCAACAACAGGCAGAATATAAGCGGCAGTATGACGTGGAGGCAATACCCCGTGAAAGAACGTCTTAGGTTCTTCACCTGTACCGACCTGCTGGAACCTGCTCGTCTCAACTGTTCATCATAACCAACGCCCCTAAACTGCTGGAACACTGCCGAGCTTCAAGCCTCAAACATTATGAATGTAGCTGCGATAGGAGTTCAGAGTTTAGAGTTTGGTCAATAGATTCTCTGCCTCCATCTCATTCTGCCTCTTATTATATATTATATTATATATATTATTGCCTCATATCACATTTACATCTGTTTTCCTACTTTCGGCTGAACTTCTCGTACGTAAAGATCCATTCAATTCAACTGTATTTCAGACACATGGGTCCATATAAAATATAATAAAAATAAATAAAATAAAATAAAATAAATAAAATAAAATAAATAAATAAAATAAAATAAATAAATACAATCATTAGAAGGAATGTCACTAATGAGTAAAATCAGCTCGAGTGTCTCTCTCTCCAGATTAAAGGAGCTCCTCTCTGCAGTGTTACAGCAGAGTTAACTTGGTAATTAGAAGTCACACATTCATAAATACATCTTAAATAATTGCTAAATCAAAGTCAAATGTCGAGGAAAAGCAAATATTCCAGTTCCCCTGGATTTCTGATCTGATGAAACAAAGAGATGGCGACTCTCTGTGCTTGTATGAAAGGTTATGAACCTATCCACATGTTGATGATGATGCATGAGGCCACTTGTAGTTATAAACTTCACAATCACCACGACTAGTAGAGAGAAAGAACGACTGATGACTAGTCCTGGGCACCAAGAGCTGCTTACATAAATATATATATATATATATGTGTGTGTTCTTAACCTTGATTGGCTCACACCGTTCACCAATAAAACAGCTTTAACAGTTTATAAAGACTAAGTTCAGCTCCCACTACATCACCCGTCCCCTGTGAGTGGTGCCCCCTCGTTTGTCCCTGCGTGGCTGCCGTAGTTGTGCTCACCAGCTGCATGAGGCTCTTGCCGCTCTGCGAGGTGATGACCCTCAGGTCCGGCTTGCGGCTGTTGACCATCTGAGGGCCGGGCGGAGGCGGGGACTTCGCCGGGACTACTTTCCCCAGGCTGTTGCCGTTGGATACGCAGAGGAGGCCCGGGGAGGCCCTGGCGCTGATGTAACCGTTAGCTGCAGAGACACAGGAGCAGAGAGATTTAGTGGAGAGGCTGTGCCTACCTGTGAACTCTGTGTGTGTGTGTGTGTGTGTTCTCATTAGTGAGTCGGATCGCTCCGTTGCACCACATGCTCATCATTGTTTCTGCAGCTCAAACTGGGTTTTTTTTGGTGGCGTTCTGATGTTTCTGCTTCTCTCTCTCTCTCTCTCTCTCTGTCTCTCTCTCTGTCTCTCTGTCTCTCTCTCTCTCTCTCTGTCTCTCTGTCTCTCTCTGTCTCCCACTCTCTCTGTCTCTTTCTCTCTCTCTCTCTCTCTCTCTCTCTCTCTCTCTCTCTCTCTCTCTCT